CGATACTTTTTTAGCGCGAACACCTGGACGCGTATTCTTATTGTCCATGTTATGAGTCACGGGTCAAGCGCCGAAACCTGGCTGCTGATAGCGACTTTCATATCATGGTGAATGAATCCTTAGCGCGAACACCTGGACGCGTATTCTTATTGTCCAGGTTATGAGTCACGGGTCAAGCGCCGAAATCTGGCTGCTGATAGCGACTTTCATATCAAGGTGAATGAATCCGCGGTGCAGGGAGGAGGACCGCGGCGCTACGCGATCCCCGGCGCGGGGAGGCGCGAGACGATCCGCGGCGCGTGCATGTAATAGATATCAGATTTGATTAGCGCGAACACCTGGACGCGTATTCTTATTTTTCCTTGTTATGAGTCACGAGGTCAAGCGCTGAAACCTGGCTGTTGACAGTGACTGTCTTATTATTACCTGTTACGGTCGACGCTGTCGTTCTCTCTCTCGCCCTAGCTGGGTCTGCGGAGAGAGGGGAGACGCACGCTATGACCGCGAAGATCTCATCGCGCGCGTGTAAAAAAATGCAAACCATGCAATGTCGTTGCAGACAAAGTTCTTAAATGTAGAGCTCGAAGGACAACTGATGTCGATAGGAGATGATGAGGGAAATAAGAGCATTTAAAATGATTAAGATTCTCTTTATTCATCCTTCCCTAGTTACTATCTATCAATAATACAATTGGATTTTATAGTATTTACGAAGGTCTTATATTTTTCACCTACGCTATGCGTATTCTGGCATAATTCGAAATATACAAGGTCTACACATGTTTCGATTTCGAATAGAAATAATAAAGTTTGAGGTTTCATGTACAAGCAGTTTCTGTGTAATGTTAATTTTACCATGTTTTCATCGTACATCTTAACACGCTCAATCACCAACTCGCGAATCGACAGCGATGAGGCGATGTTCGACGGTAAAAATCGTTCCACAGCTTCACGTCTTTCGATGAACGCTGCCCACGTTGCATGAGGCAATAATAATTGATTTCCTCGATTATCAGCAAGAATGATTTGCACATGAGACACCGGTCCCACGCTGATTCCAACATCCAAATATTTATAACCTGTAGCAGTCAACGCAAATCTGCGCTCCAGGATACGAGGCGTATGACGAGGTTTATCAAAACTAGAAAAAATACAATTAACAAATTAAATAGAAAAATGTAATGAAGTGTAAAATATGAAAAATATAATGAAGTATAAAATATATAAAAGATTTATTAATTAATACTTACTCATTGCACTGTTTCTTGCATGCTTCATTTGCAGCGTAATAATTCATCGTGCCTGTGCTTATAACTGATGTAGAGCGACTGCGATATTATTTCTATGTCGGATCTGATTTAAATACAGATCCTCACCACTTTTTTTTCAACGATGAAGTCATAAAACACAAAAATGCAAATCTTTCATTTTTAATAATGTCAATGTACAGCTGTGGTAACAAAAATTTTAATGTCCATTTATA